CCAAAACCGACCTATGTCGGTTCTTGGCTGGCGTGCATACCCACCCGCCTCTTTCGAGGCGACGAGTACTTCTGCACGCCCCTCGGAAGCGTGATTTCTTGAACAAGCACGCTTCAGAGGGGCGTGCAATCAAACCCGCCCTTCCTGGAGGGGCGGGTTTGATCGCACGCCCCTTTTGGAGGGGCGGGGGCGTGGGCGTGCGGGGAGGAGGGGTGAGTGCGATTATCATCGCCCGGTAAATCTGCATTAACAACATATCATTAGATCATCAGCAAAAATTATCATAACAGTAGAAAACTTAACAAAACCTCTTACCATGGAAAACCAACCTAGAAGAAACCCCCTTTCTGGACCTACAGCAAACATGGCCAACTTAGTTATTCCACCTTGGAGAGGAAAAATCTTACCCCCTCAACTACCCCCTCACCAGTACTATAACCCTGGAACCACATTCTACCAACCTCCACCTGCCCATACTCCAGCCTTTAACCCTGGACCAATGAGACATCCCCAACCCCCAGAAAGTGATGACTTGGAACCCTTGGAAATTCAAGAACCCCTTTACCACCACAGGACAGAAAGTCAGGATACAGAACCACCAGGACCAGTAAAGAATACTCCAACTCAGCCAACTCACTCTCTGGAACCCAAGAAACCTACCCCCATCCACTTTCTGGAAAGAACAGAAAAATTGAGCATTATCTACAGACCCAAAGATGAAATGCACTTCACCAAGGAAGAATATGCTAGAAAGGATTTGCAATGTTTGGTCAGCTCCACTATAGGCATGGGAGGAATAAAAAATCTAGAACACCTCCAACTATTCAGAATCCAATTTGAAGCAATCACTCACTACCTCATCAGAAATGGTCACAATTTCCACATGGATGAATTTTCAAACTACCTTTGGAGATCCCTCAGCCTAAAGTTGGAAAGGTTAATATCTGATCCACTTATCTGGGATGGTCACTTGATTTTGGGAGCAAATTTCCATATTGCAGAGGTACCATCCTATGGTGTTATTCTGGAGTATATTGACAGGGAGCTCAATAAACTGGATACTCTTCAAGAAGCACCTCATCAACCTGAAGAACAAATTCACCAATTCAATCAGAATCATCATAATGTCACCAACATGGAAGAATGTGAACCAGAAATCCATTCACCACTTACAGAGAATTCCTCTCCAGTACTTTCTTCAACCTTGGATGCCTTCCCCCTGACCTTAGAAAATGGCCAATCCCTGGAAACCTTGGAACCCTTGGACAACACAGAGACAAAACAATTTGGATCAGAAACAGAAGTCATTTCAGCAAAAATTCCCTCAGAAATATTCTTACCATGTGCCATGCTTGAAGAAAATTGCTCCCCAGTAGCACCTGTAACCCTGGAATTTCCCCCCCAGATCCTGGAAATTTGCAAGAAGTTGGACCCCTTGGATAGAAACCAATCAGTATATCTTGGGTCAGAGAGTGAAACATGTGCAGAAAATATGGATAACTTACCAGTAGGACCAGTCAAATTGGAATCTTCCCCTCAGCTCATTGCTAATGACCAACCACTGGAAACTCTGGAACCCTGGAGCAATACTGAAACAGAATACCTTGGCTCAGAAAGTGAACTTTCTGTAGAACCCATTTCCCCAGAAGAGAATTTACTAGTATTCCAAGTTGAAGAGACCCCAGTTAATCCTATTCCTGAATTGCAAAACTCCCTGACAACCCTGGTTGAAGAGAAAATTGAGGAAAAATTGAGTCAGAATATAAAAACAGAGGATGTATCAGCCTTGGGTTTAGCACAGTCAATTCAGTCCCCCATAACAAAGTTAAACTCAACAATGTTTGTACCTGAAGGAATTGGAACCCCAGAGAAACCCACTTCCAATATTGCACCTAACTTATCTCTAGAAGTTGATTATATTCCCAATTCACAATTGAATCCCATGGAGACCCATTTTGCAGAACCTCTCCAGAAAGGTGCCAAAGAAGAAATTTTCTACCAGGAACCAGTTTTCATTGCTTCAAGTCAAGTATTTGATCCTCATAGAAACCTTAAAAACATATTAGAAGGCTACAACAAAGAAAAAGACCCTGGAAAAACAACAGAAATGATTTATCAATCAGCCTCTATCACAAAAATCCTCCCAGAATATTTTTCTCCTACAACTCACCAAGTACCTCCCCACCAAGAAAAATTGCCACCCTTCAAGCCCCCTGATACCAGCCAATCATGGATTGAACCCCTTCTGATTATTGAAGAAACTGCAATCCAAAACTGTATCAGCATCAAAGGTTCTATGAATTTCATGAAGAAGGGAGGAATAACCAACTCACCATTTACCTTGGCAAATAATATGGATCAAGTTTTCATTGGGTTTGTTCCATCTTTGATCATCCCAGCCCTATATAAGGTCAGAAATAAAATGAGGAAGAAAAATGTTAGATATGTCAACAGCAAGCCTTTTTCTAAGGAATTGCAAGGAACTATACCTGTGGCAAGTCCTCAATTATTGATTTGGGGCCAGAACACCTCAAGGAATATGAAATCAATGGTGGATTGTGATCGCTCCAAGATTCAGACAGGAAAGAAAGAAAAGGATCAGTCAATTCTACTGATTAATAGATTCAAATGTTTCATTCAATCTGAAAATGTTGCAAGAGGTCTAGAAGGAGTTGTAGTGGCAGTTTGCTTGAGCGATGGTGATAGCAAAATAGAAATTGACTTGTTTTCATCATGTACCGATAGCTTCAAATTGTTTTCCCCAGCTTCAAGTGTTGGAAGACCAAGAACTACTGGGATATCTAATCGCCTGGACCAGGAGGCAAGGAAACCGGTAGCTAGGAAGCTTTCAGTTCGCTTGCAGAGTGAGAAGAGAAGAGCTACAAACAAACTGCCAGTTTCGCCATTGGACTGTTACCAAGGACAGAGTTTTGAATCATTTGAACGAGGCAAGCGATCGATATTGCTGATATTGGGAAAGCGATCAATCCCATCAGTATACAGGTGGAGGGAGATCAAGTTGAGAATTCAGACAAGCAAGAAATCGATCACAACAGTATTCTGCAGCCAGAAAGTAATCAGAGATGGTTCAAATTTACCGACCAGCAAAGTTGAAGTGTTGTGCCGAGCTCAGAGGAATAGAAGTAGAACAAGAGGGATTGGAGTTTTAGAGCGATTTGAAAGAAAAAAGGTACGTAGCAAATCGTTTGACCCTGGTATTGGGCAGACTCTAGGCTTCATTGATAGGAAAACTTCAAGCAATTTGATGACTGGCGAGAATGACTGCAGTAAGAGGCCTTTGAGGAGGAGATATTATAACCTGACAATGCAACAAGACTTACACAATGGAAAGAAAATCAAAGCCTCTGACACTCCCATCGGCAAGCAGTTGTCAATTACTGAAGGCCAACCAAGCAGGTCTGCGACTTGTTTACACGCTATCGAAGGAGGAGGCCTCCACACTATTGGTCACCTACCACTACTCTGCTATGCCCAAGGATGTCAGGAGTCTCAAATCTGGACAAGAACAACTGAAACCGCTACATGCTTTAGGCTTACCCGAGCCAACTTGTCTCACCATCTCACCACCCATTGCTACCCCATTATGTGTTGGCCATAGACACAAGGAATCTCAACTAGATGATAGAAAAGCTGGTGTTTCAACCTGGATTCAATTTCAATTCTCTTGCAGGTAGCACCTAGTGGCACTAGTAGTAGTACAGTACACAAATCCCCTGAATATCAAAGCAAAACACAAGCAAAAGGAATGAAAGCCTCTAGAATGAAAAAAGAAAAAAGGTAATGTAGCATGCTATATGAGTCAAAAAAAAAAAAAAAAAAAAAGAGAGAGGAGGAAGGAAAGATAAATCCTGAAGAAAAATCTGTTTCAATTGTGTTGAATCCTGAATCACCCCTTGAAACTTCAAAATTTGATGGACACCCTTTTCTATTTGTCCAAGAAATTTTCTCCCTCTCCAAAAATAAAAAAAAGATATTCCTCACCTCCCTATACTAGATAATCCAAGACCCTCTCCATCTCTAATTTGGGGGTGGTTGAACCCCAGATTTCTGCAATCTCAGCTTCACAGTTGCATAGTCTTTACTTCCAACATCAGTCAAATACCTTTTTTCCTGGACTACATGAAGAATACATATTTCCAAACCTCTCTTGAGTAATTTATGAATCAAAATGAACTAAAATTTTTAAAAAAAAAATCATTACATAAGATAAAAGTACAAAAAGAATTTCTCTACATATACAAACCATAGATATTTTTGTTTCTTTCCTCTTTTTGGCACTATTTCCAATTATGAATTTCCCCAGTCATGACCTGTTTCTCTGTCTAGGATACATTTTCATTTTTATCAGGATTGTCTTTCTTTTTTTTCTCTTTTCTTGGATGATGGGGACATCATCTAATTTGGGGGTGGATGTGGTAAGCCAATCCTGAACCTCAAGACACAGCAAGACTACATATCACACAAGAATCACAGACCCAAGACCCCTCAAGAGTTTCCCCAGGCCCTCAAACAAAGGTAACAAACCAATAGCCCTCACAAGTACCCTTTCATGGGTAAAGACATTTTCCACACCTCTGAAATTCCTCAAATGAAACCCATGGCCAAATTCCTAGTTCAATCTTGATAAGACTTAGCTCACACACCAACTACACACTAGTACCCCTTCTCAATATAACCTCAAACCCCTCTAAAATATATTCCTTATCTCTTATCTCCTTCCACCTTATGCCAAGAATTACCACTCAACAGCCATGTTTCATACTAGCCCTCTTTTGGCCCTTTCTTCCCATTGCCTGTTCAATCCCCATCTGGGTGAAATAATTACCCCCACCTCTTCCCCTTGATAAGATTATCCAAGCCTCTCTCTGTTTCAGAATGAATTCATTACCTTATCTTAGCTTGGCTCTTGCTTTGGTTTCAGTCTAGTCTTATCTTATCTTAGTGCCACACTAAATTAGGCCACATTGTTCATAGTTCAATTTTCACCTTGTTCATTCTTTGTTCCATTTTGTTCCATCTATCTTCCAACCACAAATTGGCCACTCCCCAGATTTTGTATATAAGGAGCTTTGTTTTCCCCTCTTGATTTGTTCCACATCAGATCCTGCCCCAGCAATTCAGATAACTGATCACCCATTATTAGCCAGGTATTTGCCCATCAACATTTGGGATACCTTGATTTGTGAACAAGTATATTTAGACTAGTAAACATAAGAAACATTAGACATACCATCCTCAAGAAATCTCCAAAGCCACACCTTTCCTTAAGAGTCCATACTCTTATATTTTCTTGTTATCAGAGAGGCAGCCCATTAAAGCACTCATCCCTCTCAATCTCTATTCCTCCCAAGAGTAGTTCCACAACGCCACGGCATACTCCCAGATAAAGCGCCTAATCCCTGGTTTTTTGGGCAAAAGGTCTCCGTCGTAATCGGACTTGGGCCCTTTTATTCCCGTGTCATCAATAAAGATCTGCACTACATCCGGTAAGTCATCCCGCAAGATCCATGCCATTTGCGCCTGGTAGACCGCCACCAAATTGGTCGCTCCCTGCGGAAGACAAGTTAACTGCATTCCTCCTAGCAGACTCGCATCGAACGCGGTCATCGGTCTCAAAGAAGGATGGAGCTCCCGCTGATTGTATCCACCCATAACGTCCACCAAGCCATAGCAGGCCCGCCCCGCCATGGTATCAACGAACTCTTCGATCCGCAGCGGTAGCCCCGCATCCCTGATAGTCATAGAATTCAACCGCTGCAAGTCGTGCACGATCCTCAGGCTCGTCTTGTCTTGCTTCAGCACCGCGAAAATTGGGCTTGAGTAACTGGAATTTGTCTGCTCGTAAAACCCGGTTCACACTTGCTCCTTTATCAACTCCATGAAAGCTCCCCAAATCGCTGCTGGAATTGGGATTGGCCGAATCTGCCAGGGCTCGTGCGGTATCATCGGAATTTTGTACGGTTGGCCGATTTCCTTCTTCAACAAGCCCCGCTCTTCCGGTCCGAACGCCAGCACCTTCTCCCGCAGTTTCACCACATCCGCCAACAGGTGGAACTCTTCTTTGATCAGCCACCCTTCCGGCCCAAAATTTAACCCCTCTACCCTCTCCGCAGTGATTTTTTCAGAGGGAGTGAACCTTGGCGGAACCCTCAACAACGGCGTCAAAAACAGATCCCAATCCCACTCAATAGGTCGCAACGGGGGGTTAAGGTCCTGCGGCATTGGCTCATTCTGAGGTTGAACCTTCTTTGCCACCAGTTTGTACTTCCCTCCATTCACTCTAGTGAGTCGAGAATTCCCGTTGCCTGCATCCTGTCGAGCTAACAACAGTCCACGACCTTCCCCTTTGCTCACGAAGGTGGCACTTTGATAGTGTTTTACAGTAGTACCACTCAGAGATGCACACGATGGAGGACTTACTTGCACTCTCTTGGCCTCCGCTCCTCTACTCTGCCTCTCCTCCTCTTCATCCACCCCGTTTGTTCCTCTCTCCCGCTCGTCCACTACTCCTATTGCACACGCATTGCTCACGACCGTGGCATTGAAGTAGTGTTCCGACTCATTCCCCGGAGATGCATACGACGGAAGACTCACTTTTGCTCCCTTGTCGCCTCGCCCCATCTCCACACCTATACCCTCTCGCTTCTTTGTTCTTGACCGTCCATACGGAGTCGAAGCTCTCCCCGTACGGATGGCTTGGCCGACATCTAAAAATCCTCCGGCAGCGGCTCATGGCACCACTCACCATTCCGCTCCTCGTCCACCACGCAGTTCAACCATTCCCCGCTCTGCGGTTGGAAGATAGTAATTTTGAACTGCCTACCCACCGCCATGATCTCCTCCCTCCGCCTAGGACAAAACCGCAGGTCAGTTCTGAAGGCAAACAAGAATGGGCGGCCAAGTATGATTTTGTTCGACCTTGTGACCAAGAACGATATCCGTTCTTCAACCTTGGCCACAAGCACCGGTTCCGCTTCCATGACTCCTTCTACCTCCCATGGTGCGGATTGACATACTTGTTTTCCATCATGAAAGTTTGGCCGCTCTGGCCAATTCCACGGGCATGATATTAATCATGGAGCCGCTGTCGATCATCGCCCAAACCTTCTGGCCTCTGATGTCCATCTCGACGTATCCCAAGGGACAGGACACCAGCGCCCAATGTACCGGCTTCTTGTTCTCACTGAACTCTGCGCTCCGCACCTCGGCTAGCACCCCCTCGACAGGCGCACTGACTTTCTCCGCAGTTTCCTTGAACGAGGGACCCGCTGCTTCCCGGATACTCCCTATCAGCTGCTCTGCCATCAGCGGAGAGATCTTTGCCAAATCTTTGAGAGTGAGGAAGAGAGCTGTATCATTCCCTGGCGCTTTTCGGGCCAGCTCGCCTGCCCTCTTCTTTTTGGCGGACTGCTGGGCCACTGGCTCCTTTGCCTTCAACTTCTTTGGCGCTGGCTCCGCTTTTGGAGTCAGGTCCAGTTCCATCCGGTCATACCGTTCTCCAAAACAGACCCGTTCCTCCGCTGCCACTGCTCTTACTTCCGCGGCAACCGCCGGAGGAGTCCACGCTCTTCCCCGCTCCACTATCCCAATGTGGTATTTCACTTCGGCCTCCTTGCCCTTAACACCCACGGGATTCTCAGCGCTCCTCCTCCTACGGACTTCGTGGCGTGGAATGGCTGCTTCTATCTTTTTGCCATACAGGTAGTAGTCCCTCATCACCGGCCGGACACCTAGGGTCTTGATGTCCGTGGTGAGGTCCTCACATGGAGCCTTAAATTGCCCCACCACCCCGCAATAACTGCAAGTGGGCGGTCCTCGCGGCACAAATCCCGGACCCTTCTTTGCCGACTCTGCTCCCGCAGGGGAAGCTTCCGTCCCTGAGCTTCCTCCCGGCTGTTTCCACGGCAGGGTTGTCACCGTCTTCTGCATGAACAGGCATAGCTCCTTGAGCATATCCGCCAATTCACCGACTTCCTTGACCGTCACCGGTTCCACACTCTGCATGGATTCCAACCCAACCGCTCCTCCACCCTCTTCTTCCATCAACTCTACCATATCCATCCCGCTTAGAAGGGCCTTTCGGATCTCCTTCATATTTGGCAACACGATCACCCCCCCCATCCTTTGACCTCTTCACCATGTTCCGCTCGAACAGCTGACGAACGGCCCACTCACGCATCTCCTTTGGAAAAGCCTTGATGAAGGTCCGTTTCACCGCTCCGGGAGTATTGGTAACAGTCTTGTTCCGAGTGAGATACTTCAAGATCCAATCGAACGACAACACGTACTTCCCATATTGCTCCCTTGTCTTGACTCCTCCTTTCTCCATCATTTCCCCCGCCAGCTTCTCTAGATCCGACTCACGGTATCTTTGCTCGCTCTGCCATCCTTTTCTCCAGCATCTCCTTCTTCAACTCCGCCCAGTCCTTCTTCTTGTATGTGAGCCTGGGTCTCAAAAGTGACAGCAGGACACAAGGATTGGGGGGTAAATCTAGATGTATTTCACAAGGATAAAGAAATACAACTAGACTGAGAGAAAAGGAAAGAGAAAGAAATGAGGAAAGGAAATGAATAAAGATTTTTTATTTGTTTATTTATTTTATAATCAAGGTTTGAAATGCAATCTTACTTTCCTGAAAAGGATAGCTGTTATTTAAGCGGAATTAATCTACACCTCCTATCAACTGAAACTGAATAGGGTACTTGGTATTGATATATCAATCCAACCTCAATTTTTTAGATCAAAGATCAAGGTTCTTCAAAGGGAAACCTAGGTGGTTTTCAGTTATACCACCAAACAGAGAGTAAAGATGACTTGGTTTGATTTAATAATGATTTAGGCAGAGGTTTAGTAGAAAAGGAATGATGTGATCATTCAGAGAGACAGAGAAGAAACTTAGCAGAAAGATTCAAGCTGAACTTGAAGGAATGACTTACTATTTGGTGATCCTGACACTGAGAGTGGGAATATTCCAAAGAGTAAAGAACTCCAAACAATAACACGGCAATGATACGGCGGTGAATCCAAGTTGAGGTATTCTGGTTTTCTGGTCTGAGTTGGTTCTGAGTGGGTCTGAACCTTGAAGATCCTGAAAATGCAAACTCAGTGTCTACTGATAAAATTTTCAGAGTTGGATTACATAATCACAACATGTACATGTGGTAGAGAGTTGGAATTCCAACTTGGTTGATATTTCACAAGGTACTGTGAAATATTACATAGTCTATGAAGGAGAAGAGTAGTGTAAAAGTGTGTAGTGGTGACTAAGGTTAAAATTAACAGAGGAATTCATTTCTAAAGTCAGAAAGTAATAAAAGATTAAGATGAAAAAGTTACAGTAGGGACTTGAGTAAAAAGGGGGGACTTAAGCAGTCTTTTGGCCAGCTTGGCTGGCTCTAAGGCTGACATTCCCTACCACCAAAAAGGGTTCATTTCAAGAAATGAAGCGTCAGGTAGATCTCTTCTCACTCCTGAATTTTTGGAGTAGGATATTAGCATCGGGAATATCTTTTTCTAGTAGCCATTCATCTTTGTCTGCACTCATGTTCTTATATCTAGCTAGAAACATCCTCACATCTCTATTGTCTACTCTTAATCTCTTTTCCCTCAGGATCTTGTGAATGATCTTATTCTTAGGGTTTTCTTCCATGGGAGGTATGACTACCTTCACTTTCTGTCTTAGTGAGAATTTTTCTTCATTTGGAGCGTGGTAAGGTTTGACAAGACTGACAGGGAAAGTGGGGTGTTTCCTGCTGAACTCTTCAGTCAAGATCACTTCAACAGCATTTTTTCCGTGTAATGCTTTAATTATGAATGGGCCTGCAAAGGAATCTCTCATCTTTTTTGGTCCAGATAAATTGTTGAAGTTGGCTGTGGATATCAGTACCTGGTCTCCCACCTTGAACTGTGGTTCTCTGTGTGTCTTATCCCATCTATCTTTATTGTAGGCTACTGCATCTGATATGCATTGCTCAGCATGCTCTCTGGTTTTCTCAAAGATCTTGGCGTAAGTGAGGGCAGTGGGATGAATATCTACTGCGTCCTTCTTTAGGAAATTTCTGGGCAAGTTTGGCATCCAACCTTTCTCTAGGATGGCTGGCGCCTTTCCAGTAGTAGAATTTATACTGGTGCTATAGGCTAACTCAAGAATTGGTAATAAGGAAACCCAATCATGTGTGTACCCATCATCGTCTTTGAATTCTAGCCCATATGCACAGAATCTCCTGACCATATCCTCTAGAGTTTGGATCATCCTTTCTGCTAGCCCGTCAGTTTGGGGATGGTAGGCAGTGGAAAAGGAGAGCTTAGTTCCCAACATGCTGTGTAAGCCAGTCCAGAATTCTGACGTGAATTTTGGATCCCTGTCTGATATAATGATCCTTGGAATCCCTGTCCTTGGCATAGCTCTGTTGCAGAAGAGGATGGCAGTGTCCATTTCTGAGTCTTCTTTGAAGCAAGGTATGAATATTGGGGATTTAGAATATCTGTCCAAAATTACTAGGCAAGCATTAAAGCTAGCTGCTCCTCCTGGAGATAAAGATGTAACCCAGTCCATGTTAATGATGTCCCATGGTTTGGAAGGTTCTTGTATCTTCATGAGTAAACCAAATCTCTTTCCAGTAGCTTTGTTGGCTTTTTGGCATCTATCACAAGAAGCACAGTATTCACTAGTGTCTTTCTTCCAATTGCACCACCATGCAGTGTCTTCTACTTTCTCCAATGTCCTTTCTTCCGAGAAATGACCAGAAGAAACACTATCGTGGCATTCATACAGTATGGTATTTATGCTTTCTTTGTCAGCTAAAACTAAGACAGAATTATGTTTTTCTCTATGATATAGAAGGCCATCAAACAGTGAAAATCTGCCTTTGGCATGCCTTCCACGGTTCTTGCAATGAGCTCTTCAGCTGGGTATCCTTACAATCCTTCATGAGTATTTGGGAAAGGATGATGGTGTTGTTATTCTTTTGGTAACCTTCTCTGAATGTGTCAAAGAATTCATCTTTGAAGTCAGATACGTGAATGCCCATAATGGGAAATCTGTCATCATCTTTATCCTCAGAGTCATACGCAGGGTTGCTTGGGTCATTTGGTAGAGCCCATCTGCTTCACCCATCTGCATTCTTGTGGATATTACCATCCCTATGTTTGATTCTCATATTTCCTCTGTACTCTTGGATTGCAATCTGCCATCTCAGCATGTGTCTGTTTGGAGTTTTCATATTCATCAAGGATCGTAACGCAGTGCAGTCTGTCACAACTTCAAAGACACTGCCGTTGTAAGACTCAAAAGTGGTTGTGAAACCCTTTTGCTGAATGGAGAAGGGGATGGTGGAGTTGCAAGCTCTGCCCTTCTATGCTATCAGAACAACAAGACCACCAAGCTCAGCTTGGCAGTTTATATATCATGATAGAGGATAGTTCAAGATGAAGCTGTCGAATGATTCGTATAACAGTTAAAGTTGATGTTGATTGTTGGTGTTGATGATGTTATTGTTGGTAGAAGAGGTGATGGTGAATGTTGTCGAGGTTGAGGCTTGAACACAGGTCCTTGAGGTTGATGGTATATAAAGTTAAAAAGAGGTGATTTGGAACTAAAGAGCTGGTGCTGGGAGCACTATGCTTCAACCAGGAATGGAACGTAGGACCAGAACAGGTGGAGATAAGGTGGAGATAAGGTGGAGTTAAAGTGGAGTTAATTTCAGCCTTAGAGATACTCCATAGTATCCAAAAGACTGCTAAATGAATAATAAGTATTGAAATACTCCACATGTAATATAATATGTAGTAATATTATTTAACAAAACAATATTTCATAAGATTATAAAGGGGGTTGTCCACTGGAAGCATCCCCAAATTCCCACTCCTTCAAGGACTTTGTATATATTCAAACCCTTGAAGGATAAAAGGAATAAAATATATAAATTTAGGGCCTTAATAAAAAAACCCGCATTTTCCGCGTTTTGACGCGGTTTCTGCTGCACGCAGCACACGCGCATTCCGCGTTTAAACCCGCTTTTTTAATTAATTTTTTACCACTTATTTTTTGAGTTTTTTTGAATTTTTAAAATTGTTTCCTAGGTTTCAAAGCGCATAGAATTTAATGGTAAAAACCATTTTCAATAAAAATGAATTTTGATTATTAATTATTTTTTTTCACTCATTTCTCAATTAATTGTTTGCAAACATGTTTGTAAATTATTTTTTAGCCTTTTTTGAAATTTTAAAATTATTTCCTAGGTTTTAATGTGGGTAGAATTTAATCAATTTTTTTAAAACTCTACGGTTCATTTTTAATACTGAAATTAGCCCCATTTTTTGACTTAATTTTTTACAGCTTAATTTTCATTCTTTTTTGACATTTTAAATTTTTTTCCTACACTTTCAGACATGTATAAATTTATGGAAAAGATTATTTTGCACCAAAATGAGAACTACATCTTGTATACTGCATTTGACACCGTTTTGTTTATTTAATTCTTCACTTTGTCACTCAATTGTTTGCGTTAGTTTTTTTACCTTATATTTTATGCTTTTTTGAAATTTTAAAGTTGTTTCCTACATTTCAAAGTGTTTAGAATTTAATGGTAACATTCAATTTCCATAAAAATCAATGGTTCATTCTGAATACTGTAATTGGTCTTAAAATTCAATTGATTTTTAAGAGCTTGATTTTCATTATTTTTTGACATTATAAATTCATTGCCCACCACTTGAAACATAACTTCATATCCCGCCCTGGATGTGCAGTAAAATAAACCTGGATATGTAGTATTTTTATATTTTTTTTGTTCACCTCTTCACACCATTTTTTTTTAAAAAAAAAAACACTGAATATCCAGTTTTTTTTTACTCCATATCCAGTACTGAATATGAGGTAGTGTTGAAAGTGCACACTTTGAGACATGTTAAAAATGATGGTAAAAATAATTTTGCATCAAAATAAAATCTGTATCTTGAATAATGCCTTTGACGTGTTTCCTTAATTAATTCTTACACACTTAATTATCCTTATTTTTTGGAATTTCAAGTTCATTTCCTACACTTTGAAAGGTTTAAAAATTGTTGGCTGTATCCATTTTTCATTCAAATAAAATTTGTATACGTTACAAATTGTGCAAGAAACGGGGTACACTCATGTATTAAGATTGAAGCTTGTATTTGTAGGGAAATTGGACTTCACCATTCAATTTTACACATTTTTAAATGGAGGAAATGAATTTAAAATTTCAAAAAATGATTAAAAACCAGCCGGTAACAAGCAATTAACAAAACATTAAAAAAAACATGTCCAACGCAGTATTCAATAACATTATTTGGTTTTTATG